TTGTGCGCTTCTTTTTGCTTTTGGGTCCGCGGGCTCACCTTGTTTCCCTCCACTTCGATGGAGAGCTTTTTGTGGCACAGTCCACCCTCCACTGAGGACATGCAACGCCTCCCAGGCTCTATACCCGAAGACCAGGCGCTCGAGGTGCTGCTCTCTTATCTCTTGCTCTTCCGTAATGGCGTTCCCATCGACATGACCAATGCAACCAAGCACCGACTGATCAAGGAGCCACTGCAAAGAATCGGAACCTCCGGCGGTTGGGGTGGCCTTCAGGCCAGGTCCAAAGAGGTTTGGAATTGCTCTGAAACATTCTGAAACCCTGGATGAACCCAGGCCGCCGAAAATGCCCGCAAAAAGCACCCAGAGGGCTCAAATGAGATTGTCAGATGTGCTGCAACACGGTCGTGTTTGAGTCTCCGAATGTGTACCATCTTATTTGGCTGAAAACATCGCAGATGATCTGCCTCGTTCTCCACCGCAGGGCCCCCCCCGACATCCCCAACGACCTACGTTTAAACGGCCCGTTGGTTCTGCACTGCCCTCCCGTCGTCACAACCTCCCGGCCAGGAGCGTGCGCGGAAGACCGTCTTGTGGCTACCGATGAAGCGCTTTGTGGACGAGGCGCTCGAAGGGTCTGAGGGTGAGCGGAGCTGGGCCGAGGTGAAGGAGGCCACGATGCAGATGGCGAAGCAGCTGCTTGGAACGAACAGGGAGATGGGGAAACCCAATGGTGGCGAGATGGGGTTTCCCAACGTCCTAATCAAATCAAATCAATGTCATTATTGATCATTATTGGTTGATTTGATTACTGTATAGGACGTTATGGTGAAAGATGGCTTCTTGTTTGTGGATCGGTTCGAGGAACCTTTTTGGGGTATTTTCCCATTGGAAGATGGGATGGGGATGGTGCACTTCACCCGCCCAGCACCACAGGGTGGACCCATCCATGGGGGTCCTGTTTGAAACCTCCGCAACCAGTAGGAACTTGGAACATCTTGGAACCATTTCCATTTATATAATTGGAGCTTGGGCATCGAAACTGAAAGCTGCAGAGGGTGAGTTGGCTTGTGTGAGAAGCAAAGACGGGACGCGGATGGTTTTTGTGGAGTATCCTTCATCGCAAAACGATTGTAGTAGGAGAACAAAAAAAAGAACTCGAGACAGGAGACCCGTTTTTTATTTCTTTTTTTTTACCACCGCAGATCATCATCCTGTGTCCTTCGCATCTTCCAACGGCACCGAACCGGGGTTCCAGGTCCTTCGTCCGTGGTCGGCGTCGAACCTCCCAGGTTTGGCCGTTGGCAAAACTCCGAGTGCGAGGAGATGAGGTCGACCCTGCGAAAGATGGAACATGCGCCGGGACGCGTGCGACTCGAAGACTTCCACGGAAGTGAGGAACTCAGGTTTCGAGAGATGTTCGAGATTTGTTGATACGGACCTACAGACAATCTAAGACAGTTACAGTTGGACAATCTTGAGAGTGGTTTTTCAAGACTGTCATAGGTAATGAAGAGAGGTCTGAGAGTCACTGAGAGTCTGTCAAGAACTGGGTCTGAAACCGACTTTCCGATTTGTTCACCCACCGTGTGGACCATTTCAAAACACGTATGGGTCGCTGATGTTAGGCCATTGGAGAAGTATTTTTTGCGCTGAGGTCCCAAGTTCACCAACTACCAATTCACGGAGAAGGAGGACTATTTGCAGCAGGCCGGGAGCACTCTGGGACGGGTGATGACAGCAAAAACATGCAAAAACCGAGAGGACTCGAAAGACAAAGGATGTAAAAGGATGTGACCGGTGCAGGTGAAAGGTGATGCTGATAGAAGTTCATGGCTCCTTGATGGCTGTTTTTTTGGGCTTCAAACTTTTTGGTCATCCTGATTCATACTCCGATCAACGCCGAAGGGAAGCCAGTTCAGTGGATCTCACTGACTTGGGAGCTCATTTGGTTGTCTTCCCGTTTGCTCCCTCACATAAGGCTGGGATTTTGGAAGAGAAGGCAGGGGAGATGCTTGGCACAACAGGCATCAACTTGCATCCACCAACTTGTTGGGTGTGGCATTGGGAGCCGGAAGAGAACGACCTGTGCCATCACTCCATCGATCTAGGCACGAACGGAATGGACCGTCAGACGGAAGCAGGCATAGTATGATGCATCGAATCTTGAGAAGTACCTGCCGTTCGTTGTAAGCATGGGGCCTTTTTGGCACCAAGGGGTGATCAGCATGAGACTCATGCTGCATGCTGATCAGACTTCTTCCCAGACGCGACCGGACCGTCAAGTGATCCCAGGTTTTGAGGGACTGGGAAAGGCCTGGTGGCATCCATCTTCGCTTCACGAAACGGTCCATCTTCACATTCTTCACTTCACTCTTAACGATCTTCCGATTCGGCCGTCTCTCCGCCACCGGGTGTCTCTCGCCAAGGAGGTCGGTGCTCATCGCCAATTACCTCCTGGGCGCCTCCAACTGCATCGCCTCCTCGGAGTACTTCTCGGTGTGCTGCCTGAACGAATGCGAGGTCCTGGTGAACCAATTTGAGGCGAGGTCCCGACCGGAGGGACTACCGGAGGGTAGACTGGGTGTCAAGCTTTTGGTAGACCTGGGCCTGGTGGATGGTAGACTGGTGACTGGTCTAGTTTTCCGAAACTTCCAGTGAAAGGGGGTTGCCTGGGAGGTCTCCCTATTTTGTCTGGTGAGCAGAGGGGATCACACTCAGCAAGGTGTGTTGGGGGATTGGATGGGATTGGATGGGTGCAACCCGTAGACAGTCCAAATGGAATGAGATGCTTTGACCATTTTCTTTAACACAACTAAACTGAGATGCAGAAAGGTGTGAGGTACTTGGATGCATCACGACACGCCAGGCCTGACCACTGCAACCGGGTACCCACGCGTTAGCCCGCGCAGCATCTTTTTCATTCGCGCAGGCTGCAGTGCAAGCGCCCGGGGCACCTGTGTCGCAGGCGCCGCAGCTTTGTCGGGGGCTATTGATGAGTGAGATAAGCGAGACAGAACATGATAGAACCACAGGCGTTTGTGTGAACGCATGTGCACGCATCATGTACAACCACTCAGCGGCATTTCGAGTATAGGAGAATCCTGGAATGACCACCAGACAAACATCAGACAAACAATGGGGAATTCCAACTCCATGTTGTGCAGAAATTCAGAGATTCCGTTCGAGATGAAATACCATTCGCATGCACAGCAAAGAAACATGGATCTCCAGAGACACAGTCGTCCGTCATGCACCTATGTTTGGGCACATGTGGATTCTTTCTTCTTCTTCTTCTTCTTCTTCTCTTTCTTTCTTTCATGTGGATTCTTTCTTCTTCTTCTTCTTCTCTTTCTTTCTTTCTTTCTTTCTTTCCTTCTTCTTCTTCTTCTTCCTGCTCGAAGACCAGCCTTCCCAAACTGCGCCAAAAGGTGCTTCGACTCGTGCGAGGCGGCTCCGAATGTCTGAGCCGAAGCGTTCGAGCACGCCACAGACCGCTCCTGAAACGGTCTCGTTCCGCACCTCTTCGAATCATTGGCCGAGTTTCGACTGACTCCTCGAGGTGATGCAGGTGGCACGGGAGTTGAATGCCTCAGCAGTGGATGAACTTGCGGACGCGGCAGATGAGTCGCAGGTGGTGGTTTGGCACACAGCTGGCTTCAGGCGGGAAAGATGTGGGAGTGGGAGCTGCGATTGAAGAATCGGCTGAATCGGCGTGGGAGGGGAGCTCATCATGAAGATGAGGCCAAGAGGATTTGCTGCAGAAGGCTTTGCTGCTTTTGAAGGTGACTTGTGAAATAATGACACATGTGCTCAATTTTGCTTAGTATAGGTGGTGTTAATTGTTGTCCCAAACTATGGAAAGTGTGAAATAGTTGCTGTCCCGTCCAAGAGGACCTTCTTGTTTTATCACAGATCACCGAGCATTTTTGCGGGCTCTGATGTTTGCTTGACCGTGGAGCCAGTACATAAAGCTGGTGGATGATGATGATGATGATGATGATGGTGGCGGTGGTGATGATGATGATGATGCTTTCTCTCAAGTCAAGTACTTGCCACAGGGTTGGTCCAAGTTCATCAATGGAACGTTCCCAGTTTTGCCTGTGATTCTCATTGGGACAAGCACTTCAACACAGGAAGACATTAGCTTGTGATGAAGATTGATCAAGATTGATCAAGCATCTCTCCAATTGACTTGACTTAGTCTGCATTCAGGAATTTCAGACTAGTGTGATTCAAACTTTGACCCTCAAAGCCTACTTTCGGAAGACCTTCCGGTCGTCGGCTTCTGCTTCACTCCTCACTCATCACCGACCTTAAAAAATGCGGGTCGTACGAACCCGTGGCTCACCGCGCTAACGGAGGCACTGGCTTCACCGAGCCTTTCCTTACCAATGCCCACGACCGACCGCTTCAGAAGATCAAGCGCTTCAGGCAGAGCTTGCAGAGGCTCAGGTGGGCGCTGAAACGGTGCAGCGGAGTAGAGAGCGGGCGGTGAGGATAAGAAGTGGGTGTGCTTTTGTGCGGAGTGTTCTTTTTGAGCGGTTGTGTGTAGAGGAGCTTTTGCCAAGTGTTGAGTCAAGCTGCTGAGGAGCATCGGACTGTTTTTCGAGAGACTCCTTGGAGAATATTTTCAAAGAATGGATCCATGAAACCCTTCAAATACACACCAGTGCTTCTAAAGACAGCAACACATAGACCGAAAAACTCCTGCCTCCGACAGCATCTCCTGAGTTCCAGGTTTTCCGACACTAAAAAAAGAGCGGACACCCCCCGTGGACCACCCCGCGGATGGTCGCGGCGGGTTCATCGGGTGTCGAACACTTGAACAGGAGTGGATGAAGATGGACGAAGCTGCCCGACAGAAGTGGAAACCTTTGGTGGTGCATCCCTCAGAGTGCACCCGCCTACCCCAGTGGCATGAGGAGGAGGAGGAGGCCACGCATGGAGTGGTGGAGCTGGAAGTCTAGGAGCGCTGAGCACGATGTTCCAGCGAGCGGGTCGGAATGCGCAAGGAGATGAAGCCAGACAGAAGGAAAAAAAGAGACACAGCTGGTTCTGAAGCTTGATCGATCTAATGTTGACTTTTGATTCGTAACAAAAATCATAAGAATGGTTTGACAATGTTTGACATATCCAGCACTGGGAGATTTTATGAATCAACAAATTGAATTGACATGTGAGTGGCTGTCAACACAGACACGAAGGCTCAGGAAGGTCTGTGGCACGACGTCCACAGGTCGAAGTCACAGGCTGATGGCGGCCTCAACTCAACAGTGCCATAGACTAGGCAGTGCGAGAGACATTTGTTCGTACTGCTTTAGCATGCTTTAGCAATCGAAACAGCAGGAGCTCCACGATTTGACTTAAGCACTCTCAGTCAGTTCTTGCCTTGCAAAGCAGCGGCTGTGTGTCCTTTGCAGTCAACATGCCAGAACCATCCCATGGGTCACCAACCGACGCAGTTTCCATTGGGCAGCCCAAACGCAGGGCGGCATGGATCATACCAGGCTGGTGTAGTTGGTACATGAAACACACATCCGTTTCCCCAAACACTCCGTGTATGCCTACCTTGATCTCTGAATGAAGCCAAATGCAGGTCTTAAATGACTTCAGAGGAACAGACGGTGTCTGGATTTGACGGCAGAATCACCTACAAACCACATCCACCATGGCGTGGAGCATCGCAAGCTTCGGTGTGCGGCCGAGATGAGCCTGGCGGAGGCGGGGCGCGACGAAGATTTTATCGCGTTTCGCAGCGATCTTGGGCCAGTGGGACGACCGGGCATTTCTTTGGGTGAGAATGTGTGCAAAGAACCGATGAATCATGTTCAACATGAAGCATGGCATGGCCAAACAGCGGCTAGGTCCCTTTAATAGCTAGCAAGCTGGCGTGCATACCAATGAAGAGCTACTACAAACATCTACAAACTTACTTTCACAAGGCTTGGGGCAAGCTTCTTGAGGGAGATCGATGGCAAAGATCGCTTGTCTCCAACCTAATTACTATATACTCATCTCATGCAGATGATCAAGGCTGTCTGGTTTTAGAAAGGGTATCGTGGAAAGACGTTTATGAATGGTATATGGAGACATTGTAGTTGGACGGACGTGTCCAGGGTAAGCTCACAGACAATTTTCCCAGAGTTGGTTTAAGGGAAAATCTAAAGGACCCCCCATAGATTCGAAGGTGAAAACCATGGTTGGTCCAGTAGACTTTCCCTTAAACCCATTCCGGAAATGTTGGACCGTTCGGACAGTTGAGAGTCGCCCAGGATGCCTGGCTTCCAGTGGCGAGTTCCATTCATGGCGAGGCGAACTCATGAATCCCCTGGCAGGGTAGCCACAATATGACACTATGCTTTCAAGACAAGCTACTCGCCAGGTCGCCAGGTCCGGAAGTTGGAGTTGTTTCACGACAGAGAATCTCGTTGCAACACACGTTGCAACATCTTGGAGTGGTTTCTGGGGCATTCTGGGGCGACTCTCCATCCTCTGTTGAAAGGAACTCTGGCGACTCAACATGTCGCTCTCCGGATGCACGGACAATTTGTAGGATAGCTACTTGCGGCGGTTCGTTCCAAAGACTCTCCAAAGGCAGACCTTTGAGAGAAGACATCCCAAGACATCCAAAACGATCTTGCACAAGTGATCTTAGTGATTCATTGTGATTTCTTAGTGTTTCTCCTTATGTCTCAAAACCAAAAGAAGCATCTTGTATATACCATCACCCTCACTGCCACTTCATCAATGGTTCGACCTTTTGGGGTCCAATAAGCCAACAGAACAAGGAGATTTGGGAACCATGTGGATCGCTGGTGCTCCAATAGCTTTTCACTGCAGAGAGTCAATCCACTTACATCCACAGGTTCCTCGTCGGTCGCGGTATGGGCAGCGCTTCAGGGGATGGCTCCATGGGCCCAGCAGCATGGAATCACCACCTCGTCCAAGGCGCGAAGCATGGCTTTCTGCTGAGCGAAGAAGCCATGCAGACAGGTGGTGTGGAGAAAACACACACAAACATGGTGGATGAAGTGGTGGATGATTTTAAAAACCATTGCGTGGTTCGGACAGCTCAGCTCATTGGATTTGGCAGGATTTCATGTGTGGACATCGTGAATCGGTTTGAAGCCACCTCCCAGAAGCCATGCTTTCGGGCTATAGATGTTGTAGTTCTTCGAGACCAACAAATCTTCGTATAGACCTTTAGTTAGCTTTCTTTCAACCAAGAATCATTAGTAGAACAATGTAGAACATATATAAGATTGTCATGCCATGTCACGTTGAACAGCACACATATTCCATGTGTATCGTATCCAACATCGTGGAATGTCATGAAAGTCGTTTGCTTTTGACACCCACGAAAGGGTGTCTGGCCTGAGCGTGCCGGCTTGGCCACGTGGTGGCAGCGTCTTCCACCGGCTTGGCACCGAGCCAGGTGGACTTCTTCGCCAAATCCCTTCCACCGAGCCAGGTGGAGGGGATGGCCGGAGAATCCCAAGAGTGGTCACACATCGAACCCCAAATTGGAAGAAGTGAAGTGAGGTGAGTGTTCTTTTTTAGAGCTTCTTTTTTTCACAAGCTTCTCGCAGGTTTTGGAAAACTGGCAGACTTGTTGTTGCGAAATGTTGAGACGATCATTGGATTATATTGGATTCATTGGGGCCCGATTTTTGGGAGGGAGCCCTGGTTTTGTTTGGATGTCTTCGACCAAAGAGTTCCCTTTGGATCTCTTTTGTACAGCTTGTGAGATGTTTTGAGCATTGCCCATTGTCAGGTCATCTTATTTACGCTTCAGCCTCAAACACCACCGCTGCGTGCCCCGACCTCGCACGTGAACGCGAGGCGCCCCGAAAACCGCCCCCGCCCCGACTGCCCCGCCCCGGCGTCACGGTCGCGCGCGCGCCTCGCGTGACGACGTGACCTGCGCGGTCAGGGCTTCTGCGCGCGGGCGCTCGAGCGGATTGATGCTGGGGAGCTGCTGCTCGGGACCCGAGCCGGTGGTGGCCGTCGTGGTCGACGAGTCGTCCGACCGACCGTGAACCTGTAGCGGAGGACTTGTTGTAGTATGATCCGGTGGCCGGTTTTGGGATAGATATAGAATTTAGAGGTTCTCCAGGAGAGACGGTCTTCCAACATTGGCCAATCTCCAGGCTGGACATGACCCCCAAAACATCCAAAGCGCATGCTGAAACCATTTTTTTTTGGTAGTTCACTTCTTGTTTGAGAGCTGATCCAAGATGACCCAAAAATGATGGCCGAAGGTAAGCTAAGATGAGGGGCAGTAATAGTTACATATAGTTACTATTGCATACTATTGCATGTGGACTTGGACAGAAACTCGGAAGTTGTTCCCTGGATCACAGGTGGAGCGTCTCGGCCACAGTGACTCCGCCGCCATTTTGATGCTCAAGAAATCCATTGGCGCCAGGTGCGCTATGGACAGATGGTCCCAGTTAGCCAGGAATTTAGCTCACCACTGTTGCTAAATCTGAGAGATTGGCTAGCATATGCAGATGGAACATATTCCTACATAATAGGTCAAATTTCCTGGGAGTGTCCCATGTTCTTCTAATCTCTATAAATCTACCGGTTCGAGTGATTGCAAGTAAATGTTTTTGGAAGGGTAAAGTTGGAGGCCAATGGCCAGCATGGCCAGGCAGCGCAGTGAAGTGTTCAAACATTGGGCAATTCTTGGGGATGATGGCAATGGCATTTCTTATGCAAGGGATATAACCCAGATCTTCAAAGTGTGCAGGGCAGCCAATGAATCTTGGCGTTTCCTCACTCATCAATCTAATCAACCGCCGTGATGGCATACCAGAACTTTCACCCGGCCGCCATGAACACGGGCGAGAGCCTACTGGAATATCTTCAGGCGGAGATGCATCGAGTCGATGTTGAAACGATCGCTGAGCCGAGGTTCGCAAGCTGCCACGAGGTTCGCAATTCTCAAGGCTCACAAGACTGTTTTTTCTCATGCGATGTGTGCGGGAATGGCGCTTCAGGGAGCCTACATGCAGGACACTCCGCTGGAACTCTCTGAGGTGACCAACTTGCTCAAGTTTGGGTCACCCAGCCATCCGCGGAATTGATCAATGCTTGGTTGATGGCACATGTGTCTCAGAAAGATAGGTGCCGTTTCTACCTACCCTGCTGGAGAAGGAGAGTCGCGATTCTTAATTCATGGCGACAAGCTACAGTATGGTACCAATCTGGGATGCAGCAAAGAAGGATGTAGGTTATCACTGATATCAGTTATTGGTATCAGGTGAAAGCTCATCAATAGCATCGATCGATGAAGTGATTTTGTTTATCAGTTTATCAAGACCCTAGGATTCCAACCAGCATTGATCTAACAGCCTGAATCCTTTACACTACAACACGAGATCAAGCGTTTGAAACATGGTTGAATGGACTTCCAAGGAAGAATAGTAGCTTTATTGTTACTATAGTAGTAAGAATGCTCCTAGTAGCGATGCCAGGAGCCCCTAGTAGCGTCCTCTTGTTAATACTAGGTCAAAAGATGGGGTACACCGGGACCTGTTCAAGCTGCCAGGGGAAGCCGCTTCGCATTTTTCCGCTGAACGATTCACCTGAGCATGACAAGCTCAGAACCGATGTGCTCCTATTGCGGATGTTTATTTTTCATCATTTTTTTGCAGTTTTCTTCTTTAAATAGGGTTCTGAGGGGAGTGAATCGGCCGATTACATCCCGGATGGAACGATGACGGATGGCGTTTTCCTGTGAATGAGGGGACCGAGCGTTAGGGCGATGGGACCGAAGAATTAAGCACGATTTGGCAGTTGGAATGGTTGGTTTGTGAGCCCAGAAACCCAGCACCTTTGGCAGTGAGATGGAATGGAACTAGTACTGGAACTCCTTTGGTGTCCTTCCACTGCGAAGCTCGGATCAACGGACGCTCGTTTCGCTGTGCCCCCCGTCGATTGCTCGAGGTCCGGCGTCGACCTGAGTGAGACGGACGACGGAATGCCCGCGTTGCACTACGCCTGCCTGAACGAATCCACCGATCCCCAACAGTTCCTCCGGCTGAAACATGCTGAAACGGTGAAGACATGTTCCAAGGTTCAAGGATGTTCAAGGACCGAGCCCACACTTGAGATCTTGAGATATTATCAGATTGGAAGCCTGGCTTGATTCGACACCAAGGTTCAGTGGTTTTTTTCATGCCTGGATAGGTGGTGATTGTTGGATGCTTTTTCAAGGGTTCCCATCTTGGGTCCCCATCCTTGGATCCGATGCAAACACGAACCTTGAGGTCGGATTTGGGGAGCCAAGATGGGAATACGGGAGATGATTGGGGAATCGGAATCGACATTTTTGAGGATCTGAAGGCCCAAGACGATTTTATTTGGGGGGGGGAAAGCTGCTCGCTTGCACCCTGCGCAGCAGCACCATCTTGGAGCGGTTTGGACTCGAAGAGCTACCCCGGGGTGTGGAGCGACAGGCTTCTTCGCTTGGGCCATACCAATTTCACCCGACCTTCTTCGTCCCGTTTTTGCTTGGGAGAGCCCAGTGACGCGAGGCTTTTTCTGGTCATCACCTCTTTGCTGATGCATGGTGCTGACCCCAAGGCTACGCGTACGAGACGGCTCTGCTACCCCGCGTACGGCCGAATCGATCGCCCGTCGACCGAATCCAACCAACTCGCGAGCCTGCTGCTTGAGTACCCTCAAGCTGCCTGTTACCTGTTCCTTCCCTTTTGTTTGCACTGAGACTTAAGAGAAGCAACATGAAGCATCGGTCGGGCCAGTCTTCCGGACGCATTGGTGCGGACGGGACCGCAAGCTCGGACGCGCGGAGCAGACGAATGTGTCTCATAACCTGTACGGCCCGGCCAAGCATCAACCATGTGCCAACCAGGCTCAGGTCCGAAAAAGTGGGTCACCACTAACCACCTTTCAAGATCTCATATTACGCCTTGCATATCTTGCAAAGCACCAAAGAAAGACTATGGCCATAGCATGTCGCTTCCCGCAAGGTGAAGGATTCGGATGACGACACGGCATTAGAAGCGATCCTTGGGATGGATGATGTCGAGGAGGAGGCCTTACAGGTGGGGTCTCCCTCTATGGAGAGGGGGTCGATGTTTCCGATGCAGTCCGTGAGTCTGTGAGGTGAACGAGTGAGATGTTTTTGTGATTGTGATTGGGTGAGCAATCAAGAGATGGATTAGAGCCTGGGGAGATCCAGCCGGAGACAGTTGGATTTGTGGGCCACCACGCGACCTGAAGCTCCAGCGACCTGAAGTAGCATTCTCAACAGTTCGGCAGAGGGTCCCATTCTTAAGTATGGCAGCTCGAGTGTCAAGATGTGGTCTTGCGGTTCACGAGATATGATTGATATGATAAGTCCATGCTTTTGTTGGTGAAAGACCTTCTGCTTGTCTTATATATATATGATTATATGTGTATTGGTGTGCTGGAGATTGAGCTGTTATATATATATATATCTCTACTACTGACTCTACTGTTGGAGTCTCTCTCTCTCTCTCTACTGACTCTACTGTTCCAAATTGGAGTTCCACCATGAACCTGGTCAGTTCATTGATTTCCCATACCATTGGAAGTTCTCCCGGCTCGTGAACTAGCAGCACCAGAGGGTAGGTTTGAGAAGGCTCTACCACTCTGACATGGCACGCAAAGAATAAGGGAAGCACTCAGATGCCTGGTGTTTTCTCAAAACAAGTGACCAGGGGAGTCTGTACACTAGGATGACTCATGTAGACGCTTGATGAAAAACATAGTTAACGGGGTTTTACAATCCATGTCCACAACTCCCCATGTCATACTCCCCATGTCATATATAGCATCAAGAGTCATCAAGAGTCTACATGCCACCGGAAGAGTCGAATGTACCATGATGTGCCACCGGAAGAGTCCGCTTTTCAGCGCCGCAGACTGACCGTCGCTGTGCAGGCCCATGTGGCGGCCGCTCGGGCCCTGATCCACTCGCCGGACCAGCCCGTCGGCAAGGACGAAGTCGCCAGCTGCTTGGACGGCTGCTCCACCTCGGTGCTTTTCTTCGACCGGATAAAAGGAATTCTTTTGCGTCGAACCCAGGACCATCCAATGTGGATGGCCTTTTACTAGTGGTTGTATGTGTACAAGGAAAAAGATCCAATATATATATATATACTATGTAGGCATAGACTGCATAGAGTACCAAACAGACCTCCTCTATTGCCAAAAAGATATCGTTGGATTCTATGCCAATTCGGTGGAACTGGGGATGGAGCCATGGAGGCAGGTGGTGCCAGCGAAGCAGCGAGTCTTTGTTGGTTGAGGTGTGTTGTTGGCTTTGCGTTGATGTCCTGGATGCGTATTGATTTTCGATGAAGACTGAACATCAGAAAAAAAAACACATTAAAGGAGAGTTTTTGCTGCATGTTCTGTCGATCATACCAAGCTATCTTCTTGCTCTTGGGGTCAGAGGTTTGGTTTCTTGAGAAGTCTAAACTTTTAGAGCGGTCACGACATCTAGAACCGTCAACTGGTCGGAGATGGCGGGGATGTTTGATTTGGATCTTTCCAGCTGGACCCCAGGGCTGCAAGTACCTGTGACATTTCTTTTCGTTCGGCTCCCCATACCGAATGGACCTGATGTTTCTTTTCTTGTTACTCCGATTTGTGGCTCTTTTTGGAAAAAGAAACACCTGAAAACACTTGCTTTCCTTTGTCTTCCTCTGTAGGCCCTTTGGCAACACACGACGTTCTCCCGTTTTCCTTGCGCGCGGCACCGCGTGGCACCGCGGTGCACCGCGTTGCCACGCGTGGCGAGGTATCTGCGGGTGGTTGAGGCAGAATCTGCCGGAAGCTGTGCAAGCACAGGCGGGATGGGAAGTTCTTTTTGACCCATGGAGGGTTGCAAAGACTAGCCTTAGCCACAAGTTCGGCCCCCAAGAGGCCGCCCATGGCCTCATCCAAGAGCAGTGGACTTGGAGAGGTGATTTCCAAGCTGTGGCATGACCTCTAAATAGGCCATGTGTGAAAGCAGTTGTGCATCAAGGAGCTAGAGAGAGCTGGAGTCCTTTGCAGGTGGATGGTGGTGTCCAGTCTGGCTCCTGTTTCCAAACATTTTCTTTCCAAACAGTCGTCCCATGTGCTTCTTTCCAGGCATTTTCTCTGTTCTGTGACACCTGAGGCTCTTCTCCTGTGAAGTTTTGGTTCCAAGCATAGCCAGCTATCCCACCTCCCATCGAACGACGACGCCATGAGCTCCCGACGCGATCGAGAACGACGGGTGCCAGTCAGCGTGCTGACCGGCTTCCTGGGATCAGGGAAGACCACGTTGCTCAACCATATCCTCAAGTCACCCGACCATGGTATGAAGTTTGCTATCATTGAGAATGAGTTTGGCGAAGTTGGGGTCGATGAGAAGGTACTCTTGGAGTCCGCGGAGGAAGAGATGATTGAAGTGATGAATGGCTGCATTTGCTGCACTGTGCGTGGAGATTTGGTGGTGGCTCTCAAGAGGTTGTACAAGAAGATCGACAAGTTTGATGGTGTCATCATTGAGACCACCGGCCTGGCCGACCCTGCACCAGTGGCACAGACCTTTTTTGTGGACGATGAGATCCAACGCATGTACAAGCTTGATGGAATTTGCACCGTGGTGGATGCCAAGCACATCATTCAGCACTTGGAAGAAGAGAAGCCCGAAGGTGTCGAGAACGAGGCAGTCGAGCAAGTGGCCTTTGCCGATCGTATCTTGTTGAACAAGACCGATCTGGTGGAACCAGAAGAGCTGGATGGGATTGAGGCGAAGATTAAGGCCATCAACAGTGAGGCGCCCATCTTCCGTTGCCAGAACAGTGCTGTGGACCCGAAGAGCCTTCTGAATTTGGATGCTTTTAGCCTTGACCGCGTTTTGAAGATGGACCCCGAATTTCTGGACACCGATGGTGAGCACCAGCATGACCTTACGGTCTCGTCTTGCAGCTGTAAGTTCGAAGGAGAATTGAATGTGAACATGTTGCAAAGCTGGATCAGTGACATCATTCAGAATAAGGGGACGGACCTCTTCCGCTACAAAGGAGTACTGGCGGTGAAGGGCATGGACCAAAAGTTTGTCTTCCAGGGAGTGCACATGTTGCTTTCTAGCTGCGCTTAACTTTGTTATGTTGAAGGTCCAAACAAACCAAAGTCCTTTGATCAGCATTTTGCCCAGCCAGCCCGAGGTTTTCTGGAGGTTTCAGCGACAATTGTTGGGCAAAGGATGAACCTCGTGAGAACCGCTTTGTCTTCATCGGGCGGAATCTTGAAAAGGAGGAGCTCTTGGGTCAAGTCAAGGCGCAAGTTGATGGGACAGATCCTACTGAACACACAGTATTTTTTTTGGGGGCATTATACTTGCAGTACACACATTTTACATTATTATATGCTATAATATAATATAATATACCTACTGCTTCGTCTACCTACTTTTTTTTAGGTAGAGAAATGATAACCTGGTATTTCCCACGTGCACCCGGAAAAACCTGGTAAACACACCAGGCATCAAAATACCTGGTAATTGCAAAAACACCTTGTCAATCGGGTTTCCAGGTGCCTCTTCCTGGTCCGGGGTCCTCCAAAGTGTGGACCAAGCATGACCATGCAACTGTTGGACAAGTATCTTTGGCAAGATGACTCATCATTCCATTATCAACTTGCCCACTTCATGTCCAAGATCCTGGATGTTACATGGTTCATGCAAATCACCAGATCATTTCCGTAACCTCCGGTATGTGAGAACAATGATAGCCCGCCCGCTCATGTGGAAGCGATCGTGCACTTTGACCTGGTGCCCTGGATCAGCCAGGCCCTCAATTTTTTTCAGCGCAGCAATCGCGTGGCAGCGTGTTCGCTAGACCACTTCCAATGCATGGTCCTGCAGCAAAAGTCAAGCAAAGCAAATTGGAGGTTGTGTTTGATTCCCGGAGTGCTTTTTGGTTCCTAGCATTGTGCTATACGGCACACGATCTTGTGGGAGATGCCCCGAAACCGGGAATGTGAGTCTAATGCTATGGACGTAGAAGGGCTTGCTGATGAATGGGCGAATGACCCAGATGTGAGGGCTCGGGCAGCAACGGGTCGCTTGCTTCAGCACCCTTCAAGTCAAACATGGTGTATTCCTTGCCGTGGGAATGCCAAGATGAACAGGTGTGTTCTCGTGCCGCTGTTGACGAGACTCTGTACCACTCCAACCTTCCACCTTTTCCATTTGGAACCAGTTCAGCAGGAGCTACAAAAGCTCTTTACTGGCATGAATGTGAAAGTCAACTCGAAGGTTATCTACCAAACATCGGTTGAGCTCAAGAAGCTCTGCGGGTTCATCAAGAGGCGAGTCAACCACAAGGAGGTTACGAAGGCCTGGGTTGAAACAGTTGGAACCTTTCTTTGGGTTACAAGTTGAAAGTTTATACATGTGAGTACGTACTGTGTAGATAGGAATGCGTGCAAAACAAACAGCTTGGAACTTTGCTGCCCCTATTCAGGACACTGGTTTCCATCCTTTACTCTTGACACTGCAGCCAGAGTTGGAGGAGCGCCTATGCATGAATAGGCCATATGCCACATCTGTCATGTATCCTTCAATGGTTGAATGCTTTTGTTCAAAGAAAAATCAAACAAAACAACCAGGGGTCAACATGGAAGGACTTCATTCGGACCTACATGGAGACCAGAACCCCCTTGGCGCACATGCCGTCCTTCGAAGAGGAGAAGGACTGGGCGGAGGAAGATCCTGAGACACAGCAAGACTTCAATGATTTTGAGAGATGGTTGAATGATGTTGGGGCTGAACCATTGCCAGCTGTGCCCGCTGAAGACTCAGCTCTTGTCCCTCAAGAGCCTTTACCACCTTCCGGAGAAGCCCCAGCACAAGTCACAGCACCCAGTGACGTTCAGCCCAATCCACCTTCGAAAGCATGTCCAAAGTGTGGCAAAACCACATCGTGCACCTTATTAGTGATTCTGAATATGTATGATTTATTTGTTCTGGGGGTGTAGGCTTGGGACTGCTTCTCAGGGTGAACGGCCGTGACCTCGAACCTAGGCAAGTGTGATGCTATCCAAGCCTTACTTGCGAAGATTGCCGCCAAGAAAGCGGAAATTGCGTATCTTGACCAAAAGGGGTTGGCGCTACGTTCCATGAACCATACACAAGTTATGTTACTGTACATTGCACTTCGTGGTGACAAAACCACATTGATCATAAGGTCCAGGGCAGCAGCTGCCCAGCCCGAGAAGAAAGAGGTGGAGGTCAAGCAGGAGAAAACTGATCCAGGTAGGAAACAACTATTGTATATACTCATGTGCTTGCAACAATGAAAATTGATGATTCATACTTTCCAGGGTAGTTGGGACTTCATGCGACCTATGACCTGTCAGGTAAACAACTTGCCTATGGAGCGGATTGGGTGGAGACGCAGGTTCAGGAATTGTTCGAGACGCCTCTTGCAATCTCAGAGTCCGAGAAGTTCTTCAACCTCACGCAGGTCCAAGGTTCGCAGGAGATTGAACTTCCTGAGAAGCCAGCGGAGGGTGCAGACGACAAAGAGGCCAGTCACGTGTGAAAGAATAAATGTAAACTGAATAATTATATGAAAGCTAAACTGCTTGGGTTTCCTCAATTGATAGCAGAGTCATGGCATGTTGGAGAATCTTTGTGAAAGAACATGAGGAAAAACTATGCTGAAAACAATCCTTTTCCTCTCTCCATCATCCGACCTTATTCCATCTCTCGATCAATCTTTCTCTTTTCTGGGCCAGCTCGCCCTCTCTCGTGACCGTCTCCTTCTCTCTCTCTCTCTATTGCTTGCGATCGTGTATACACCATGGCCATTCGCGCAAGTTTCATGAATGTTGTTTCCACTGATTTGTGTGTTTTCTTTGCTCGATGGCTTTGTTGGAGGTACTCACCAGGAGGCACCAACTCAGATTGAAGGAGGCTTTGGAGAACCTTAAGAAGGACAAGGACAAGCTCCGGGAGGCTAAAGGCAAGGCTAAGGCCAAAGCAAAAGGGAAGAGCAAGGCGCAGGACAAATCCTCTAAGGAGGATGCTGCTGAAGCTCTTGCCGATGGAGCAAGTGCTGCAGAAGCTGCTGCACTTAGCGCTCCAGCGGCCAAGGGCAGAGCCAAGGGAAAGGCCAAGTCCAAGGCCAAGGCCACCCCAGAAGAGGAAGAGGTCAAGGAAGAAGGTGCTGACCTGCCTGTGGCCAAGGCAAAGGCCAAGGCAAAGGCCAAAAGCTCGGCTGCTAAGGCCAAAGCTGGAAGCAGGAAGGCTGCTCCCAAAGCGTCGCCAAAGATTAGGATGAAAGTCCGCTCTGCCATGAAGGGACAGGCTCGGTGTTCAAAAAGCCAAGATCCAGCGACCTTGGCTTATGAAAGGTGTGACGATGATGAGGAAGAAGATGATGTGGAATTGGAGATGGAGGGTGCCCGAAGGGAAATCGGCCGCTCAGTGGCGGAATCTAGCAAAGAGAGCCGTGTCGATGACATTGCTTCACCAAAGCGCAAACTCTTTGAAGATCCTGAGGATCCTGTGGAGGAGGACCTTGGACTTGTGGATGAGGAGGAGGAGGAGGGACGTGAGGAGGATGAGGTTGAGGAGGAGGAACCCCCGGCCAAGAGGGCCAAGACCAAGGCCAGCGTGTTGGCAGAAGCGAAGGCAAAGGCTAAGGCAGAAAAAGCGCCAAAGGCAGCGCCAAAGCGGGCCGCCAAGGCGGCAGCAGCAAAGAGAAAACCAAAAGCGGCGGCGAAAAAGGCAGCAGCAAAGAGGGCCGCTGCGAAGGGACGAGCTCGCAGGGGGCCAAGCTTGGCAGACGCAGAGTTGGAGGATGACGGGA